GACGAAATCCACATGCCATACTCGACGATCTTGATGAATCTTGAATGTTCTTCTCCTTTCTCCTCTTTTCTCCTCTTCTTTTCTCTTCTCTCTAAACCATAACACTTTTTCCAAAAGCGTAAACTGACTAAGTTCAGTTAGACCCCTAAGTAATTACCAAAAAAGAATTAAAATAAAAGGGTAAGGAAAAGACCAAACTACCCTTCAAAAATCCGAATTTGGACTTTCCTTAATCCAACAGCTCAACTTCCAAAGGGCCTAACTTTCTCATATGAACTCGGAATCGCGCAAACTTGGCATTGTGGGAAAGATCATTCCGAGAGCTTTCCAACAATATCTGGAAGTACACCTAACTCATCCTGATCTAGGAGTTATGGCCGTTTGAAGTTGACCAAAAACTCACTTTTCCTAACCTAAACAAATTTCCAGATTTTCAATTCTTTCCAAAAATGACTATTTCCAATTCTTAGCTTCTTCCTAGCTATTTCAAATTCCGAGATGTTACACATTTTCTATAGTTTGAAGTTCAAATTTATTTGACCATCCACAAGAGTGGTTAGTAATAGTAACTCATCATAAATGTTTTTTTCCTTCCTTTTACGCTAGATAACAAAGAGTAGAAAATGTTAAAATAATTATTTTTGTAATAAAAAATTCATTCAACTTTGCTAATTATAATATCATATAATAAAAGGTCCATTTCATTTTAAGCTAGATTACAAAGAGTTCAATTTTGCCTCATGCTTGGTCTAACATATGCATTTAATTAAAGATGTATAATGCAAACAAATGTACAATTTTGCCTCGTTCCGTGAATAAATTAGTGCATTAATTTAGAAGCTCACATATATGGGAGAAAATAGAGACGAATTTATGAGTTAATTTTTGTAAATTTAAAATTATGGATTCATATATAATACTCTGTTATAATTTTACTAAATTTTTACATATAAATAAATGATCAAGGAAAAAATGAGATTTTTACCTGGTCGCACAAGTAGGGTTAGACAAAAAATTGTAACGAAAGGCAAAATTGAACAATTTTGAGTATTGTATAGATAAATTTAAACTTTTTCTCTTTTTCCTATTAAGTAACTCATTGTTAATTAGGGAGTATATAATCATTTATTATGAGTTACATTACTAACCACTCTTGTGGAGTATCAGTCATGTTAAATATTATTGATCTAAAACCTAACAGATACCATCAATACTCAATTAGAGAGTCAAGATAGATGCCAAAAATATGAAGTTACATTCTGATTTATATAACACAACACAAGAAGGATAATTATGGAGATGAAGAACATAATTCATAGTCACAGCTCAAAGGATAATTAAATCTAAAGGGGTTACACCTGAGATCATTTTGGTCACAGGCTGAGGATAATTAAACCAACGTTCTATAGTCAATCAGAAACTAGCTAGCAACTTTAATTTGGGCACGAGTTTTCTTCTTTAGAATCTGAATCAAGTTGTATAACCAAATCACGAGTGTGTGGCTGTGTCTTGAATGTTGTCTTTGTGCGTATCTTGCGTAACAAGGACATGCCATCACATTGCCTCTTCTTCGTATCTGGAGGCTGGACATCGTCAGCTGATTTCAGAAACGAGTGATTCAAGAGCATGTCTGCACTCCAACGCGCGCTTGGATTCCTGACCAAACAATTATTCAGGAAATCTTTTGCCTCTGTAGACAGTTTGGGATTCTTAAAATTTGGTTCCGAATTGGATGATTCCCATAGGGGTTTCCCAGTGATCATCTCGTAAACAGTGCATCCAAGTGACCAAATATCAACTCCTGGGCAGTACTCCTTCTTAATTAGAGCTTCAGGTGCCATGTACCTTTTAGTTCCTCTGTGCCCCGCGTTCTCTTTCAAGTTCTGCTCCAAAGTTATGGAAAGTCCGAAATCAGCTATCTTTGCCACCTCGGCCATACCATCATCACCATCAGTAGTAAGAAGAATGTTTTGGGGTTTTATGTCGCAATGAATAATCCCTTTTTTGTGAATCAAACTGAGCCCTAAAACAACATTTTTGGTGTACTTTTGGACTTGAAACTCAGGCAATCCTCGTTAATTAATACGATCAGCTAGGCTTCCAGCTGTGGCAAATTCGAGCAACAAATTGTAAAGATGTAAGTCATTTTCATAGGTGACATTAAATTTAAAACGTAGAATAATTTGAGGACAATCCCCAAACATTCATAAGAATTCCTTTTCATTTCGAAGAGACTGAGAGCGGTTCAACATACAAGATTTAACGGCAATGAGAGATGGTATCATAGGAGAAGGGGTATCAGTAGAAGCCAATGATACAAAACCATTGCTTCCTTTCCCCAATGTTCTACCTCTCTGCCACTTAAATTTCTCTTGTTTTTCCTCCATTACTATTATTTCACAGTGTTCTCTTTTTTACTTGAATGTGAGCTCTTTTCTTAGTGTATGTATAGGAGTCATGATAAGTGATCAGGTGAGATCATAAATAAAATGGGTTGAATTTTAGTCAGTAAAATTAAATTTGGATAAACTCGTCTCAACCAATTATTTGACCCATTTTTAACCTTCTTTGTTCTTTACTGGACTTTTATTTAGTTTTTCCATTTTTCATGTTTCTATTTTCCTATTTTCCCATTTTTCATAACTTCTTGATAACTCTTTGGCTATTTCTTAATATTTTCTTGGAATTCTTATATTATGAACCTTAGAACTATGAGTTATGAAAGTCCCCAAATTTAAGACCTTATGATGCTATCTTATGATTCTCTATACCACTTTATTATTATGATATATGTCTCTCATGAATGCAAAATTATGATACATGAATTGTAACCTCATGACGTGATGATATAAATTAAATTTATGAGCTATGGTTCTTAAATGTTATGGATATAAGTCTTCGGGCTAATCCATGATCACATGAGCTTAAGAAAGCTAAGTAGTCAATCGAAAAGGCATAATTCTAAATGACGAACTCTGAAACTACGTTTGTCGATATAGGTTAATGATCGTATCGTTGGTTCATGTGACTCGTTTTATGATCATGGTAAGGACTAGTTATTAACTAATATGATATGTACACGTATGTCTCATACTCGGTGAGGTATGAGATGTCTTAGTTGATCGGGTTGAGATCAAACTCCATGCGCTCACATGATAGTTTATATTGGTTACACTATTAACCTCTCATAATAAACTAAAATATGAGAAAAGAGGTATCCCTAAGGCAGTCTGAACGACCTTATATCTTAACCATCATATGTCACGATTATGCTTATGCTAGCTGCTTATACTGATCTTGATATGTATGCTATGTTTCATTCCATAATTTTACATACAGTACAATTTCATATATACTTACATTCCTTCCGCCGGATGTGCCGCAATGCAGACTTAGGTACACTGACAAATGGTGAAAAGATGAATTTGATATATCGAAAGGAAATATCTACATTTAATTTTTTAATAATTTTGAGTTATTTTCATTCAAAGCTTATCCAATTGACTTGATATAAAGAAAAATTGTTGGAAGAATGTATAGAAAAAGCGCTATAGTCCGAGTGAGATCCTACTTGGCGCGAATTCAAATTAATTAAACTTTAATGTGGATATTAAACACTGGTTGAAGAAACTAAAAAATAATAATTGGAGGAACGTATATATGTATCATCTTTCATTTTGCACAATATATAGTGCATCTTGCAAGGTGATAGTGGATGAGCTTAAAATATTACAATAGAACAAATCAATTGTTACAATTGTATGAAAAAATACTAGTAATATTCCAAAGGGCCATATTTAGTACGGCTTCTTAACTAAATGTATCATTGACTAAATTCTTATTTAATTAAATGGCTGAATGTATATGTAATGTATTAATATTATATAAATTGTGTAAGATTGTATATATGTATGATGTATAGCTATACATTAGATATGTATAAATAATCACAAACTCATATATTTATACATTACAATGCATCTTCCTCACGAGTTGATTTTTTATCAATACCGACTAGCTTAAATATCCTCTAAATAGTCCTAAATTATGCATATGAAAAAATCTCATTGTTTCGATTCTTTTAGTATAATATATTTTCACTAGAAATGATCATCTTAAATTTGCGGTACGTCAAATTTTAAATTTTGAGATTCAAAAGCTTTTAATGAATGATTTCAATGGACATCTGATTCAAGTCTCCACTAAACAATCCAAAATTTAGATATTATTAGCTACTCTCAATATTTCTATTTTCTAGATATATTATTCACTAAAAATAATGTAGAGTTGCGACGATGTCGAATAATTTTATTTATTTAAACTTACCTAATTGCGCGAAGAAGATCCGAGTAGACATAGACATAATCAATAAATGATCAAATGGTCATTCTATTGTTTTAGTTTCCCGATTACTTTTATCCGAAATTTAGTCAAACAAAGCAATTTTAATTAATTTGATAAATAACTCGTCTTCTAGTAGATGATTAAAGAAACAATGAGTTTAGAACTTTCCTTGTTACTTTAAATTATATCATTATCATAATAATTTAATACATAATAGGTAGATTTAAAAAGCAAATTAATTAAACTTCAAAAAAGGAAAAATAATAAATTTTGGTCAATGTAATATTTAGCTTTCCATATTCCTACCACAACTTTGGAAAGTAATTAAAACCTAATACACTATAAAAGACCAAGCTAGTCTCATGTATTGAAATCATTCATTCATAGCTCTTTATATTTTCTTTGTCATGTCTTTAGAAAATATCATAACTTTCAAGACTAGTGATGGTGAGGAATTCAAACTCAATGAGGTTGTAGTTGTGAGGTCAGAAGTCATCAAGAACATGGTACAAGATGCGGATAGTACTTCTAATGTCATCCCCTTGTCTAATGTTGATGGCAAAACAATGACCAAAGTTATTCAATATTGGAAGAAATATTCGGAAGAAGGTGTTACGAAAGATTAGTTAAAGAGTTTTGATCAGGATTTCTTGAAGATGAGCCAATCAGAATTAGTTGGTGTTCTCTTGGCTGCTAATTTTTTTGATGATAAGGAGTTGAAGGAGGAAATAATCCAAGATTTTGCTGATAGGATCAAAGGGAAACCAATAGAGGAAATACGTGAAGTATTTGGTATCGTGAATGATTATACTCCAGAGGAAGAGGAGGAGGTCCGTAGAGAGAATGCTTGGGCTTTTGAATGATTTTATAATATTTCCATTATTTCCTAGCTATATCCTATTTTTATTGTTATTTTATTTCTGTTAGTTCTATCTTCTGTTGTTCCTTTTTGAACAAATATTGCTCGGTTTTGAATGATTTATATATTATGTTGGAAAGAAATTAAAGCTTGTTATGCTATTTGAGAAAAAAATATTATCCTTTTAGATACGTTATTCACTCAAATCTCCTCTAAATATTCTTAAATTAGATATATATATCTGAGCAACTTTCGATGTTTTAATTATTTTACTATATTGTATATTCACTAGAAATGACTAATTCACATTTGCGACAACTTAAATTATGAATTTGAGGTTGGAAACATTTTAATGATAGATTTCAATAGATATCCGATTCAAATAATTTATATTGCATGACCTCCTCCATTACCCGTTACCCCATACAACTATGATTGGATGATAGAAAAATTAAATGGTTGAAATGTAGTTATAGCAGTGAAGCTGGTGGCGCCGAAAAAGGTTGGATTTACAGCAGTCCAACGCACATTAACAATTGAAGAAGTAAAGAGATTTTTTTGTTAAAAAAATAGAATAAGAAATTAATGAAAATAAAATTAAAAAATAATTGGCACGTGGTAGGCAATAGTTGGTGTGTGTATGCACTTTCTTTCTTATACGTGAGATTGACCGAAATTTGGGATATTTTTACCACTTTTAAATTATTTAAGGAGGGTGCTAGGACCTTTGCAAAGTTCCAGTGTCTTTTAAAAAATGTGTTATAGTTGAATGGAGTAATGATGCATTTTTTCTCTCTAAATTATAAGACCTAGAATAGTCTCTCCACTTATATCGTTCATGTTGGGAGGACAATTAACATACAAACAAAATAATATGATGAACGTTACTTCCTCTGTCTCATAGTAAATATTAGACTTTTCTCTTTACGTGTCTTTTGAAAAAATCATGAATAAGAAGGTTAATTGGAAAGAAATTAAAGCTAGTTATATTATTTGAGAAAATTAGGTAGAGTCTTAATTTTCCTGTTGTTTAGGGTATAGAAAAAGAAAACTTAGTGATAGCTTAAATATGTGTCTACAACTATTCAAACATCATTCTCCAAAGTTATAATAATTTCAGCTTTTACAAGAAGATACACATTAAAAGCTTTCTTGTACCTATCACCATCTTCCTATCTGTTACATATGTACTGAGTGATAAAGATTGGATTTTTCAAGCACTCATTAACTCCAATTACAAGAAATTTTTTGTTTTTAAGCAACAGTCTCCATAAATATTCCCATGAACTTTTTTTCCCCCATTTTGACTTCCTACTTCAACTAGAACAGTGAAAACCTAATGCTCTATAAATTAAACCCTTCAAACCTCTCAGACATTATAGTCATTCAAATCTCCTTTCAATAATATTCTCAACAAAAATAAATTAACATCTCTTATCCAAATATATTTTTATCATCATGTCTTCTTTAACAATATTCTTAACTCTAAAGACTTGCGATGGTAAGGTATTTGTACTGGACGAGGCGATAGCCGTAAGGTCACAAGCTATCAAGAATATGATTGAAGACGATTGTGTTTCAAACGTCACTCCCCTGCCTAATGTCCATAACAAAACAATGACCAATTTAAAGTGATTGAATACTGGAAGAAACATTCGGAGGAAGGCGTCTCCAAAGACATGTTTATGGATTTTGACAATTGTTCAATTTTCCTATTTTAATGGTGGTGTTATTTAAGGTAGAATAAGGGAACAACATATAGATGATCTGAGGTACGTTTTGATAAATAGTTGATCACAATTTAGGCAGGAAACCCTCATACCTAATAATTCACGTATAAAACTTGAAAAAATAGAATACTTCAGATTTCACACGTAATAACATAATTTTTATTTTATTTTATTTTTTCTAGATTATTTGTTGCAACATAAAAATTATTCAGTTTTTATACTTATATCATTGTAATTTACTTAACTGGTGGGTTTGTAATTTGCAGTAACAAAAATCATTGAACTTTACTAAGGAATCAGAAGTTTTAGATATTTGAGATTGCTCAGGTTTAATAATTTATCAAAGGTTTGAATAAATTTGGAGGATAACTTCTTCACATTTTGTCACTCCCCAAGCCTACACCCTGGATGTAGCCGACACTCGAGAACCATTGCTGGCCCCAAGCAAACCCTTGGCTCGGCTTACTTACTCAGCGGAAGACTATATGAAATAAGAAAGGAATCCAAATGCTAAACAACTTAACTGTCTCAAAACTAAACTCATAATGTTTTGAAAATAACATTTAACTTAGCCAAAATGACAACTCAAATCTGAACATAAGGCAATAGCAAAATGATGACGAATGACTGACTATATATAAAACCTCTAAAACAACTGAGATGGATGTCGGGACAGGCCCACGACATCCTAATGAGCTATCTAATACTGAAAATAAACAAAGAGATCTTTTGGAATGCAAAGAGGCTCGCCAACAGTCTCTGAACTATTCACTGGATCAACGATGCGCTAGATGTCGATCCTAGTTACCTGCGTATGCATCATAATACGATGCAGGCCAACTTGCATCAGTACATTGAATGTACGAGTATGCAAGTTGGAATGCTAAACACAACAGAGGCTTGAAAAAAATCTAAAAGGAACTAAAGAACTTATCTGGCTCATCTCAACTCAACATAACTGAACTCATTTCAATATAAAGCAGTTTAAAACAAATGCAATATAAAGTAAAGCTGTTTAAAATATGATGTCAACTCTATGTGTATGCAAAGATACAAATAACTCTGAGAAAAAGACCAAAAATCAATATCTGAGGGTGGGTCTGCGACGCAGAGACATATTTAATTTTTAGTTTCGAAAATGACTTTTGAGGCAGAAGACTCCATGACGGCTCTGCGATGCGAAACAAAAATTCCGAAAACTAGAAACCAGCTCTACGATGCGCCACTCATGTCAGATTTCGTCCGACGAAATCTATCTTGTGTTTTTCGGCTATAAACCCTCTAAACTCCGTGGGTTCTTTTACCCAAAACATAGAACGATTAAATGTTCAAAGTACATCAGATTCTACTCAAAATTGAAGCTAAAATCACCTATTAGGATGAAAAAACTCCTCAACGAATTCAACGAAACAAGAATCTAATGAAACTTCTACAAACCCATTCAAGAACTCAATTTCTAAGCTTTCAAGAAATTAAATTCGCTGAAATAAATCATGATTGGCGCGTGGGTGAATTAACCCAACGCTATGTGAGCTCACATACCTTGTAAGGATCACCTCCGATGAAATCTACAAGTCAAACTCGACGATCTTGACGAATCTTGAACGTTCTTCTCCTTTCTCCTCTTTTCTCCTCTTCTTTTCTCTTCTCTCAAAACCCTAACTCTTTTCCAAAAGTATAAACTGACTAAGTCCAATTTAGACCCCTAAGTAATTACCAGAAATGAATTAAAATAAAAGGGTAAGGAAAATACCAAACTACCCTTCAAAAATCCGGATTTGGACTTTCCTTAATCCAACAACCCAACTTCCAAAGGGCCTAACTTTCGAATATGAACTCGAAATCGCGCATACTTGGATGCGTTGGAAAGATCATTCCAAGAGATTTCTAACCATATTTGGAAGTACACCTAACTCATCCTTTGCTAGGATTTATGGTCATTTGAAGTTGACCAAAAACACATTTTTCCTAACCTAAACAAATTTCCAGATTTTCAATTCATTCCAAAAATGACTATTTCCAATTCTTAGCTTCTTCCTAGCTATTTCAAATTGTGAGATGTTATAATATCTCCGTCTTAGGAATATTCGTCCTCGAATGAGATTACTCTTACTAGGCTAAGGGTGGTAACATCAAGTTCAAACACCCAACAAGCATAGCAATTACAACAAATTGCTTCATGATCATGGTAAGGACTAGTTATGAATTAATATGATATGTACGCGTATGTCTCATACTCGGTGAGGTATGAGATGTCTTAGTTGATCGGGTTGAGATCAAACTCCATGCGCTCACGTGATAGTTTATATCGGTTACACTATTAACCTCTCATAATAAACTAAAATATGATAAAAGAGGTATCCCTAAGGCAGTCTGTACGGCCTTATCCCTTAACCATCATATGTCACGATTATGATTATGCTAGCTGCTTATACTGATCTTGATATGTATATTATGTTTCATTCCATAATTTTACATACAGTACAATTTCATATGTACTTACATTCCTTCCGCCGGAGGTGCTGCAATGCAGACTTAGGTACACTGACAAATCGTTAAAAGATGAATTTGATATATCAAAAAGAAATATCTAAATTTATTTTTTTAATAATTTTGAGTTATTTTCGATCAAACCTTATCCAATTGACTTGATATAAAGAAAAATTGTTGGAAGAATGTATAGAAAAAGCGCTATAGTGCGAGTGAGTTCCTACTTGGAGCGAATTCAAATTAATTAAACTTTAATGTGGATATCAAACACTGGGTGAAGAAACTAAAAATTAATAATTGGAGGAACGTAAATATGTATCATCTTTCATTTTGCACAATATATAGTGCATCTTGCAAGTTGATAGTGGATGAGTTTAGAATATTACAGTAGAACAAATCAATTGTTACAATTGTATGAAAAAATACTAGTAATATTCCAAAGGGCCATATTTACTACGGCTTCTCAAGTAAATGTATCATTGACCAAATTCTTATTTAATTAAATGGGTGAATGTATATGTAATGTATCAATATTATATAAATAGTGTAAGATTGTATATATGTATGATGTATAGCTATACATTAGCTATGTATAAATAATCACAAACACTTATATTTATACATTACAACGCATCTTCCTCACGAGTTGCGACTAGCTTAAATCTCCTCTAAATAGTCCTAAATTATGCATATGAAAAAATCTCAATGTTTCGATTCTTTTAGTATATTATATTTTCACTAGAAATGATCAATTTAAATTTGCGGTACATCAAATTTTAAATTTTGAGATTCAAAAGCTTTTAATGAATGATTTCAATGGACATATGATTCAAATCTCCACTAAACAATCCAAAATTTAGATATTATTAGCTACTCTCAATATTTCTATTTTCTAGATATATTATTCACTCAAAATAATGTATAGTTGCGACGATGTCGAATAATTTTATTTATTTAAACTTACCCAATTGCCCGAAGAAGATCCGAGTAGACATAGACATAATCAGTAAATGATCAAATGGTCATTCTATTGTTTTAGTTTCCCTATTACTTTTATCAGAAATGTAGGCAAACAAAGCAATTTTAATAACTATCAGAAATGACTCGTCTTCTAGTAGATGATTAAAGAAACAATGAGTTTAGAACTTTCCTTGTTACTTTAAATTATATCATTATCATAATAATTTAAGACATAATAGGTAGATTTAAAAAGCAAATTAATTATACTTTAAAAAAGAAAAAATAATAAATTTTGGTCAATGTAATATTTAGCTTTCCATATTCCTACCACAACTTTGGTAAGTAATTAAAACCTAATACACTATAAAAGACCAAGCTAGTCTCATGTATTGAAATCATTCATTCATAGCTCTTTCTATTTTCTTTGTCATGTCTTCAGAAAAACTCATAACTTTCAAGACTAGCGATGGTGAGGAATTCAAACTCAATGAGGCTGTAGCTGTGAGGTTAGAAGTCATAAAGAACATGGTACAAGATGTGAATAGTACTTCTAATGTCATCCCCTTGTCTAATGTTGATGGAAAAACAATGACCAAAGTTATTCAATATTGGAAGAAATATTCGGAAGAAGGTGTTACGAAAGATCAGTTAAAGAGTTTTGATCAAGATTTCTTGAAGATGAGCCAGTCAGAATTAGTTGGTGTTCTCTTGGCTGCTAATTTTTTTGATGATAAGCAGTTGAAGGAGGTAATAATCCAAGAATTTGTTGATAGGATCAAAGGAAAACCAATAGAGAAAATACGTGAAGTATTTGGTATTGTGAATGATTATACTCTAGAGGAAGAGGAGGAGGTCCGTAGAGAGAATGCTTGGGCTTTTGAATGATTTTATAATATTTCCCTTATTTCCTTAGCTATATCCTATTTTTATTGTTATTTTATTTCTGTTAGTTCTATCTTCTGTAGTTCCTTTTTGAACAAATATTGCTCAGTTTTGAATGATTTATAAATTAAGTTGGAAAGAAATTAAAGCTTGTTATGCTATTTGAGAAAAAAAATATTATCCTTTTAGATACGTTATTCACTCAAATCTCCTCTAAATAGTCCTAAATTAGATATATATATCTGAGCAACTTTCGATGTTTTAATTCTTTTAATATATTGTATATTCACTAGAAATAACTAATTCACATTTGCGACAGATCAAATTATGAATTTGAGGTTGGAAACATTTTAATGATAGATTTCAATAGATATCCGATTCAAATAATTTAGACTGCATGACCTCCTTCGTTACCCCATACAACTATGATTGGATGATAGAAAAATTAAATGGTTGAAATGGAGTTATAGCAGTGAAGCCGGTGGCGGCTAAGAGGAGGAAAAAGGTTGGATTTACAGCAGTCCAACGCACATTAACAATTGAAGAAGTAAAGAGAATTTTTTTTTTAAAAAAATAGAATGAGAAACAAATGAAAATAAAATTAAAAAATAATTGGCACGTGGTAGGTAATAGTTGGTGTGTGTATGCACTTTCTTTCTTATACGTGAGATTGACCAAAATTTGGAATATTTTTACCACGTTTAAATTATTTAAGGAGGGTGCAAGAACCTTTGCAAAGTTCCAGTGACTTTTAAAAAATGTGTTATAGTTGAATGGGGTACTGATGCATTTTTTCTCTCTAAATCATAAGACCTAGAATAGTCTCTCCACTTATATCGTTCATGTTGGGAGGACAATTAACATACAAACAAAATAATATGATGAACGTTACTTCCTCTGTCTCATATTAAATATTATACTTTGTAACATCTCGCACCTAGAAACAACTATAAAGAGTTTAAAATATGAAAATATTGATTTTTTGAAAGAATAAGGAAATCTGGAAATTTTTTGTCTAAGTTAAGAAAGTGAGTTTTGGCCATTTTCAAACGGCCATAACTCCTAGATCAGGAGGATTTAGAAGCAGCTCTTTATATTTTTGGAAATCCCTTGGAGAGATCTCTCCAACGCCGCCAAGAATGCACGATTTCGACATCGTATGAGTGAGATATGTCTTCCAGAAGTTGGGATGTTGGATCGAGGAAAGTTTCAATTCGGATTTAGGGAAGGGCAAAGCAGTATTTTCCCTAATTAATTTCCGAATTCATTTTTAGGGATTTATAGGGGTAAAAACAGAAGTTAATTCAGTTTTGAAAAGTTAGAATACGCTTAGGGCTTGGAGAAGAGAGAAAGAAAGAAAGAACGGGAGAAGAAGGCAAGAATAAGCCAAGATCATTCAAGATTTGCGAGTGGAATTCGTCGGGGGTGATCCCTATTAAGGTATGTGAGATTTCTTTTGTGTTGGGTTAGTTCACCCGCACACTAACTTGTTTCAATTCAGCGAAATTGTAGTTGTTTGAATGTTAAGAAAGTGAATTTCTTGAAGAACATTGTTGAATTCTTGTGGGTTGATTGTTGAATGCCTAGTGTTGAATTGATTCATTTTTCCGGGTTGTTTTGCGAGTTAGATTGGTTGTATATTGAGGGTACAATTGATCCTAGGGGTTTGGGGAAAGTATCATGGAAGTTTGGAGGGTTTAGAGATGAAAAATGGAGGAGAAAAGTCGAGAACACCTGGGTACAGGGTTTGGGGCGTCGCGCCTCTCAGCACGCCCTAAAATGTTCTCTGAGTTTGGCCTTTGGTGCGTCGCCCCAGCCAGAGCGCCCCAGCCAGCTCTCTGAGGTTTGGGGCCTGGCGCCCCATGCCTCTCAGAGCGCCAGGGACGCCAGTTCTCCCCATTCGTTCCCCACCTTCTCGTACGTGTTCCTAAGTGATGTACCTATGTTTCCTAGTCGATTCTAACATTCTAAAATACATCTAAACATCATGAAATCATCCCTAAACATGGGATCATGAACCTTGAATCCATAATCCAATTCAAAGAAAGTTAAGACCAAAGTCAACAAAAGTAAGAGTCAAGTCAAGATGAGTTCTTAGAGTTTTCCAAAAGTCTTTTCCAAATCTTTTAACTTTGTGTTAAGACTTAAAGTTCAAGTTGAGTAAAGAGTAAAGTTTGAAGTTCATTTCTTCAAAAGTATATGGGGACTAAGTATTCCCAAAGAGATTTAAAATGTTTTCACATTTAAATAAGAACGGAAACTGAGATTTCTAAAGAGCCTACGGGCTAGTTTTCAGAAAAGAGTAATAGATTTCTAAATGAAGTAAGCAGGGGAACTTAGATTTCCAAGATAGCCTTTGAGCTAAGTTTTGAGCACTAATCTCAAATCACAGAGGAAATACGTTTCATTTTTGGGAGTAGTATTGTGCACCGAATTGGGGGAGCGTTCAAAGAACCCACAGCCCCCATAGAACCATGTAGCCATCATGTGTAGAAGAGGTTCATACTTTTTAGATGAATCCTTTTCAAATTAGACTAGTGGTTCTATTAGCCAGTTCAGGTTCTATACCTTTGGCCGGGTATAGGATGCTCTGGCAGCGTGAGGTTGATCGTTGTATCATCACTATAGCTTTTATGTGATGGTTGTCGGTTAGAGAAACTCCCACAACAATTATTGTATTTCTATATACATTAGTTCATTTGTATTTCTACATACATCTCAGATTTATTGTATCTTTTCATACACACAGAGTTCATAGCATGTTTTAAACAATTTTTCTTTATATTGCACTTGCTTTAAATTGCTTTATATTGAAATGAGTCAGTCAGGTTGAGTTGAGTGAGGCAGGTAAGTTATTCAGTTTCTTTCAGATTCCTTCTAGCCTATGTGTGGCTGAGCATTCCAACTCGCATACTCGTACATTCAATGTACTGATGCCAGTTGGCCTACATCTTATTATGATGCAGACGCAGGTAACCAGGATCAGCATCCAGCACCTCGTTGATCCAGTTGAGTAGTTCAGAGTCAGTGGTGAGTCTCCTTGCTTTCCAGAGGACTCTTTTATTCGCTTTCAGTCTTTCATTTATTAGGATGTTGTGGGGTTTGTCGCAACATCCATCTCAGTATTTAGAGGCTTCATAGACAGTCAGATAGTTATTAGTTAAGATGTATTTATTTATCTTTCAGATGTTGTTTAAGACTTAAGTGCCATTTTGGCCAACTTATTATTCTTTAAGTTATTATTTGAGACTGTTTCATTGAGTTAAGTCTTCTGTTGAGTTAAGTAAGCTAGGCCAAGGGTTCGCTTATGGGCAAAAATGGTCTCCAAGTGCCCGTCCCGCCCAGGGTGTAGGCTCGGGCGTGACAAACTTGGTATCGGAGCACAGAGTTCAGGAGTCCTAGGGAGTCTATAAAGCCATGTCTATAGAGTCCTAGTTATCGGTGTGAAGCGCGCCACATCTATAATTAGGAGGCTGCAACATTTAGGAAATTCTTCACTTCCTTTATATCCATCTTGTGCGTTAGAGTGTATCTCTAAAAGTTTCCCTCTAATTCGTGCTTGTGCGCGTTACAGATAACCATGCCTTCTCGAAGAGCGGCACAAGGTCGTCTAGCTAGGATAAATATTTAACCACAAGAGCAAGAATTACCTAATGCACCTGAAGTGCAACTGCAAAGAGAGGTCTCTAATGTTGAGTTTAGAGAGGCTATAAGGATGCTTAGCCAAGTTGTGACTAATCATGCTGGGCAGCAGAGAGGAGATCGACAAGAAGAGACTGACACTTCAAGGATTCATGAGTTCTTGAGGATGAATCCCCCAAGTTTCACTGGTTCGAGCACTGCAAAGGATCCAGAGAACTTCATTGAGGAACTGAAAAAGGTGTTCAATGTAATGCATTGATACTGCGAAAGTTGAGCTAGCTGCATATCAGATGAAGAATGTTGTTAGGACCTGGTTTGATCAGTGGAAAGGCAGTAGAGCTGAGGATACACCACCTGCGAGTTGGGCATGATTTGAGGATGCCTTCTTGGGACGATTCTTTCCCCGAGAACTGAATGAGGCTAAGGTACGTGAGTTTCTCATCCTAAAGCAGGATTCTTTGAGTGTGCATGAGTATGGGTTGAGGTTCACCCAACGGTCTCGCTATGCTCCTGAAATGGTTGCGGACATGAGGAGTAGGATGAGTTTGCTTGTTGTTGGTTTGTGTCACCTGTCAAGCAAGGAGGGCCGGGCAGCAATGCTTATTGGGGACATGGACATCTCAAGGTTGATGGTCTATGTGCAGTAGGTAGAGGAAGAGAAGCTGAGGGATAGAGAGGACTTCAAGAACAAGAGAGCTAAGACAAGGAATGAGTCCGGGTAGCAGAAGAGTAATGCAAACCAGTCGTCTTTCCAACATAAACAGAAGGGACCTGGTCCATCATCTGCTAGTGCACCTGCACCTAAGAACAAGAATGAGTATGATGGTCAAAATTCCAGAGTTAAACCTACATATTCACAAGGTAGTGTGGCGCAAGGGGGTAGTAAGCCTCATGTCTGCACCAAGTGTGGTAGGAACCATTCAGGTATGTGTCGTGAAGGCTCCACTGGTTGTTTCAAGTGTGGTCAGAGTGGACATTTCATGCGAGAGTGTCCAAAGAACAGGCGGGGTAACGGGGGAAATAGAGCCCAGTCTTCTTCAGTTGCTCCACCAGAAAGGGTTGCACCTAGAGGAGCTACTTCTGGTACTGGCGGAGGAACAAATCGTCTCTATGCAATCACCAGTCGCCAAGAGCAAGAGAACCCTCCAGATGCTGTCACTGGTATGATCAAAGTCTTTACTTTTGATGTTTATGCTTTGCTAGACCCAGGAGCAAGTTTGTCTTTTGTAACTCCTTATGTTGCGAATAAGTTTGAAATTTTTCTTGAGAAACTTAGTGAACCATTTAGTGTTTCCACACTTATTGGTGAGTCTATTCTAGCGGAGAGAGTCTATCATGATTGTCTCGTTTCTGTCAATCAC